AATTTTAGTGTTTGTATTTATTTTGATGGAATATGATCTTCAGGTGGTGATGTCAAATGGCATCGTTACAGAGAAAGAATACAAACTAATAGTCAACTATATATGGTGGTGACTATCAAACCAATTAATAGTTTGTATTTATATTAATCATCGATGTATCAAATTTATTAGAGAGCTGCTATAAATTATTTTTTGTTTTAAACATTTTTTTATATCACTGATCAATACATGCATGATAAATATAATATAATACATTAGTATTTGCTTTTTCTAATACTTATCTCTAAATAAAAATGATTAGAAATAAAACTACCAATAGTCACAAACTTAACTTTTTTCCAAGTATAAAAAGTTCCGTTTTAAAAAGTAGACTACCTACTCCCCTTTGAGGAGTGAATTGGTTGGGTTAGTGACTAGGATTATATTCTGGGTAGTCAAGTGCCACACCCCTTATCCGATCTTCCGGCATTGGCATCTCCCTTTGTCTCTCTGCTTCGATATTGCCATGTAATGAAACTGTTCATCATCTTCATTCATTATTTATCAATCTAGATGTATAGATTAAAAATTATAGATACTCTTTTTTCTTCTTTCATTTCCTTTGGTGGTCTGCATGTTGCTGTGTACAATTGTAGCAGTAGTGCAACACTCGTTTCATCACAACAAGACAGATCAGGAGCCTTCAGAACCTTGGCAATACTGGTTTCATCAGAAGGCTTTTGAAAAGTTGTTTTATCATATAGCAGCACACACAGCTGGGGTACTGATTGTGGTTGGTTCTGGATTGAAATTTAATTCACATGAAAGGTTTCACTGAGGAAGATAGGAGTTATTTGACAATATGGATCAATTTCAGTTGCCATGTTGGTTTTTCTGCTTGTCACGACCCAAACCCGGCCCTATGGGTTTAGCACCGTAACCGGCCAGTAATCCGAAATTACCGAAGGCCTGCTTAACAGTAGTACAGTAAAACAGAGTACAGGGCCTAGCGGAAGCCAATACAGTAAATGAATAATGTCCATTGAGCTATGTCAGTCTGTATGCCAAAAAGATTTTTCATGCATTCCACATATACAAACAGTACAGTCTATACAAATTTACAGTCACACAGTACAAGGACCTAAATCCCTTGATAACAGTACAGTAAACATTCAATCTATACAGAACAGTAGACGGTACAGAAGGGAGAATTGTAAAACACCCCTAAGCCTTAACACGTAGGCTCGGAACCTCTTCTCTTCGGAGGGATTCTACCTCAAGGCACCTCTCTGCTGCCTCTAACACTCTAAGTTCATAAAGTGTAGGGCTGCCGCAACAACAGAAAACAAGGCCGCAGCCTCGGACAGATCGCCGTAGTAACAAATCAAACTCGCTAAGTGCTCCCAACATCTCCCATTCCCGGATGGCTATACAAGCTACATCACTAATGGTCTTACCTACTAAGGGGCTCGGCCACAACATTGGCCTTC